ACACGCATTGCATCCATTTGCATTCTGACTACTGAAATACACTTATTCATAACAGGTGAATGAAATAATTTGCAACGAGGCACTTAACAAAGGTTTATGCATTAAATTTGACTACATTACGAAAATGGCCTTTTGGAACTGTACTTAATTAAATGGCCAATTTCAATAGCCCTGCGCCGTACCTGTGCAAACTGACAGTGATGTGTCACATAATCCAAGCATTTCTCTGGGATGTACAATAACGTACCATTGAAATCCCCTGCGAGTTTAATTTCTGAAAATAGTTGCAATTGTGTTTTCTGTCATTTTAATTCTATCAGAGTCCTTTTTTTGTAACAAGACAATTTAAACTTGTTTAGAGCATTCATTCATTTTTGCAGCTTGAAAACTTACATGAATTTGGATCAATCGTAAAATTCACAAAATTACCCAAATTTTTTCTGATTTTTTTTTTTTTACAGTAACAAGGCGATTTCTTTGATGAATAATGGGAGCCTTAAACAAATGGAAATAAACAAGAGTTGAGACTGAGAGTGAAAATCCTGAAAGTGAAACTAAAAATGTTCCATGTTTCCATGATATTGCTGAGCAAAAATACTGTCTGTTTGGAGCTAAAAGCACATTAACTCTGCATAAACACCATCCGGTTTCAAACAGACGATATGTACATGTACATGTAGATACTCAGGTCAGTGATTTTTGATTTGCTAATCAAGCATCAACTACGTTTCTTTTATAGAATAATTCAAACTTACCTCTGAGGCTTAATTGATAATCACTGGCACAGGCTTAATTTCTTGCTGGACTAGAATTATATTCCTTTCTATTTAAGCTCTAAATGACAGCACTGAAACGGTCCAAAGAGTTGAAAACTTTAAGTTCACAAAAAAAAATGTCCACTTCTGTATCTCCTGATTCAGCAAATGCAATTATCACAATGAAACACAATCAAAAGAACCGATAAGAATCCAGGAAGTTCATAAGGATTTAGAAAAACATGCCCCGAGCTCGGCAATACCTCGATCTCCAAAGACTTGTAAGCAAGACACCGACACAGCATATATTTTTTGGTGAAAGAAAAATCTTTCCTTTCTGCTTGATGACAAAACTGTTGTGCACAGGCATAGTTAACTGATTAAATTCCTAAATGTTTTCACTCCCCATGGCTTAATACAGGAACCATGCACCTCCGACAGGCACTGGGTTAAACATCAACCTTCTCCTGGAAAGCAAACAGCACATGCAGCTACTACGAGGTAAACCTCCTAACTGAGCAGAAATGGAAAGTACAGGCATGTCAGGGGTCGGTGGTGCTTTGCTCGCTCAGACTTGTGGGTGTATCCAACTAGAAGGCGTTGCGTGAGTGAGTGTGAAAGGGAGGAGGGGTGGGGGTGTAGGAAAGGAAACTCCATGAAATTGCAAGACATCTTTTGTATTGTATGGGTAAATGAATATGGTGCAGGCATGATAGTACCCTCATCTGCATAAAGAACAGGTGGGTTGTGAGGTGGGGAGCAAATGGGGGGGGGGGGAAGAGGGTGAGGGGATCTGATTCCCCCCCCCCCCCATTAATATTTTCTGTCAGCAAATTTTGATGTTTTCTCTAACCATGTTGACGAGAAAAATTGATGCCTTTTGTGTTTTTTTGCTGATAGAATTGTTGAATAGATTTCTTGTTCGGAAATTTGGTCCATCACCCCCTCATATTCAAGGTGGTCTATCGCTGCAAATTCATCAGTTACAGCCCATTAACAATTTTCTTTTCTGATTTGAGAAATTCAATAACAGCCAAACAGGTTGTATCAAGTTTTATGGGGTGCTAAAAGTAAGTATATCTCGGCGAATGTGGCAAAAATATGAAAATAGCCCAGATTTTTTAATTTCATCCCAAGACTAACAATGAGATCTATGTAATCGAGTTCTTGAGCATTCCTTAGTGACTTTATGACATGCCTTTGTCAATTTACATCTACGGCTAAGGCTACGTCACTACATACCACAGGAAACCCTCCCAGTTATTCAGATCACCAAAATATGTCTTGAAAGGAGGTGTGGCCTCAGGAAGTTTTACATTCCATCGTGGCTATTTCCACTCAAAATATTCACAAGTACACCAAGATATATATTCCAATTTTCTGAATGGATAACCAAACATATTTATGACGTTACACATATATTCATAAAATATATAGACCTTGGGGTATGTTCTTAAAGGCCAATCCCACTCGTGAATATATGTTTATATACCCAAAATTTAGAATGAAGAAAAAAGAAGTATTGCTTCGCAATAATCCAAGGAATTCTCTTCCTACAAGGTGTATGTAGGCCTACCCCTATTAAATACACCTTGGTTTGGGAGTGGCAAGGCAGATGTCGTTGATATTAAGCCTAGAGCTGTGCCAGGGTTTGAACCTACAACTTTCAAAGTCTCCAGTCACGGTCTCAAACCACTCAACCACAATACACCTTAACAGGAATTTAGAGCATCTAGAGAGGATAAGTGCTGTGCTGTGACTTGAACCAATGATCTAATGATCTTTGCATCTCCTGTCACGATTTGCAACAACCAACCAAAACACCTTTACCTCAATTTCATGCATATACTGTGAGTTAAGAGAGGAAAGGGCCGAGATGGGGCTTGAACCTCCGACCTTCATATCTCAAGCCAAGATTTTAAACCACTAGGCCACAGATGGCTATACACCTTTGCAATAAGGAACACAAGAAGAATATGTTCTCTGTTGAACACCAGAAGGGCATGTAGATGTTAACAGGTCAACACCCTTTTGGCTATAAAAAAATATTAAACTACATATATAGATTGGGAGGGTTGCTTTCTGCCCATGTACACCCCAATCTGGCTATAGCTTCACGGAAAAGAGCTGACAGGATACAGGGTCAAATAAAAGGTCAAGTTTGGATGGGCGGAGTAACATTTTTACCAAGTCAGCCATACCTGTTTCAGTTTTCCTTCGATGATGGTGTTCCGAGATCTTTCTTCCTCCTAGGTTTTGTTCTTCATGCTATTTAATCACTGGCTTTGCACAGTGGTTTCCTCGAGACCACCTCCATTCTCCTTCTCTTTCTTCCTCTTCCTCTTGCAATTTTCTTTTCATGTTTCCAACCTTTCCCCATTTTGTTTTCTTTGTCTCTCTTTCTCTCCTTGTCCCTCTCCACCCCTCTCACCTACATGTACTTTGTTTACAGTTTAAGTTCACAAACATTTTCTCCAACTTTACATGTACCGGTATGCCTACAGATCTCTCTTATCTTTTAAAAAAAACTTTCTTGTTTAACCTTTTCCCCTGCAATAATGTCCATCTCTCGATCTCTGTCTCATTATTATTTCAGAGTGTATTAAACTGTATGCTCTATCTGTCTGTCTGTCCGTCTATCTGTTCGTCCGTCTGCCCCTCTCTCTCTCTTTCTCTCTATCTGTGACTGTCTCGATCTCCCATCCCCCCTCTGCCTCCCACTGCCTAACTCTCTCTCTCCAGCAATTTCTCCATTTTAACCGTATGTCACAATAATCCATGTTATCTTGTGTGGAAGATGATTTATCCCAAACGTGTTATGAAAAATAAACAATGCCCATGTCAGATGCATGCACGATGTGACATTACTCTATACATGCTTGAGCTGGCCCCAGTGAATCTCAAAGCCATATTCACACATCTAGCAGCCTTATTCATGATAACATTTTTTAACTGTTGATTGTTCACACAGGGAAGTATTAACAACTTACAGGTCATAGGCCTACAGAAACAATTTTGGCGTGTCTGTACAATATTCATGTCACACATGCTTAGGTGACAAAATGGTCAATATGCTACACTAGCTGAATTCTTTGACTCTGGCTTAACACTTTTTTGTACCATAACCATTATCCTACAACACCTAAAACTTGATTGCAACCCGAACCCTAGGCTCACTGTATATCTTTGTTGACAAAGAAAATTTGAGTAATAATCCCCAAGTCAAATAGCGGGATATTTGGGAAACAAGACCAACTGCTGGCTTATGGACGTAAATTAACTGGTTAATTTGCGATTGGGAGAGTTAAAATAGTGGGTTATTTGGCAATCTCGAGCTGATAAAGCCAGGCCTATTGATGCTTATGTGACTTCCTTAGATAAACAAAATTATTATCATATCAAATTGTATCACTTGAACCCGCTATCATTCAAAACAAGTTTAAGTAGATTACTACACGTATATTATCATGAACAGTGTGTTGAACATGTATGAACACAACAAAAGAGTAACCCTGGTACCATCCACATTACATCTACATCAATCAGTCTCCCACCGCATAACAATACAACCCTTTCCTGGAAGTTCAAAATGGCATGGCCACAAATAATACAGGTGGAATTGGAAATGTCTACATCGTCTAGGTGACTTTCTTGTCACAACACCCGACGAAATGTGCTCAACTGCACGTACCCGAGGCATTTCATATCTTTTCTTACCAACGGTTATCAGAAAGATAAACCAATACTCAAAGAACTAGAGCAGAAGAACATGCAAGCAAGAAACATGGAAAAAGGGAAGCTTGCGATGAAAGAGTATGGAAGTCCACCAGCCTTCCACAAGTCGTTAGTAAACATCATAATTATCAAACTAGATGAAGGTCATACATGCATGTGATGTCCTCAACCAGTGCAAGCTATCATACTCAAACTTCTGAGGGTCAATTTTGTGTTTATTTTAGCGAGGCTGCATGATTACTCTAATTACAGTACAAGATGGGTCAATTTTTTGTGTGCTTTTGCAAGGCTGAATGAAGTATCCTCATTAGACTACAAGATATACTCAAAAATACATGGAAGTAAAGAGCAATTTATTCACTTGCAGATTACAATGGACCATATTGTACAATATGTTTTAAACAGAAGTACCGTTACTGTATATCAGCACATATGTAAGGTCTTTTTGTTTAAAAAATGCAAAATCCCAGTCAAAATTCAATAAATAAATGGGAAGTACTTTTACTTTACCTGAATTTCAGTAGCTCTGTCCTGCCCCACAAATGCCTGTCTTGTTTCACACATGGCAACTTGTTCCCTTGAATTTCTCGCAGGTTGCATGACACCTTCATTCACAGTGTCTGTTGTAGATTCACCAGGAGTGGTGAGAGATATGGTGTCTGGCACAACGGATGGAACTTCTGCAGGATGGTCCAAAGCAAGAGAAACACCCAGATCTTTAACTTTGTTCAGTACAAGGGCACCAGAGGTTCTTTCGATCTTGTAGGACCCAAGGTTCTTGACCCTGGAAGGGTCCTGCCCCTTGGTGTTGTCTTTGAGATTGCCGACTCTAGGAGGGTTATCTATGCTTTGACATGATCTAGAACGCTGAGGCATTGAAGAAGTATCATCCATGAACACATCATCGCTTTGGGTGGATTCTAGTCTCTGGAGGGGGATACCTGTTCTATCACCATCCTTGCTTTCATTAGAGCTTCCATGAGGATGTGCCTGAGAGGGAGTAGAAGCTGCAGAAGTTTCAATGACTGGTTGGTTGGGAGTCGAATGTCGCTTGATCCGGTTAGCATACCTTGAGCTCCTTCTCCGACTAAATGTGCCAGAGCTTCTAGACGATGTGTTTTGTTCCAAGTCTGATGGCATCTGATGGTGCTCAGATCTATCATCCGTTGACGATTCTCCTCTATCATCAAGCAATATATTGAAGTCCTCAGAATCTAACTCTCCTGCCAACCTCCTCTCAAGGACTTCAACCCTGTGTCTCAGAAGCTGCAGCTCATCGTCCATCACAGCTGAACTTGCCGATGGTTCGCTCAGGGTTCGTGATGGTAAGGCAAAATCGTCCAGCGATTGCTGCAAGACCAGTGTCCTTCCTTCACTGTAGCGCCTCGGCGGAAGCGCAGGCTGACCTTCCCTACCTCGAGGCAGAGTGGAAGCCGCAGCTAGCGATCCAATACTTGGTATCCTATTCAAAGGAGACGCCAACCCTCCACCGTTCCTCTCATAAAACATTTCTGAATTAACAGAATAACTTCCTTCAGGAGATGGCAAAGAACTTGACATCTTTCGACCCCTGTAGCTACAGACTTGAGACTCTTCTTGGCCTCCCCCCTCAGAACCAACAATCACAATATCAGTCAACTTCATCTTGTGCCTTGTGGTCTTTGACTTGGAGGTGCGATGGTTCTCCAAATCCAGCTCACTTGACGCAACAGATCGACGGATCAGCTGTCCGACCGAGGGACCAAGGGATTGCGACCTACGTTTCGCTTCTCCGAAAATTCGCCAAGTGCGTCCCTTCTTTCGCCTCGACTTTGCTGGATCCAAATGTTCGTAGTGATGGTCATCTGCAGGGTCAGTAGCAGGGCTGTCCAACTTTGCGAAGGAGCTGTGCTGCCTGGATTGATCCAGGTGTGCATTGGGTATGAGGTAGCCATTCTCTGTTATCTCCATGGTGGCTCGCCTTTTTAAAAGTGCCTCCATTGCGATTTAGTTTTAACAACAGCCTTCAAGATCTGCTAATTATTGCATGACTGTGGGAATTCATCATGTACTTTTAGAATTTATATTGACCACTTCTTTACCAATTTAAATGGCAATATGCCTTTAACGTGCCTGTATAAAAAATATGTTAAAGGAAAGCTTTTGCTCATGGTTCAGTCTTGGATCAATTATATTCAAACATTTCTTTTTATCTCCAAATGCATCACATGATACATCAATGTTGAATGACAGGACAGGATGTCCCTTTTAGATTAAACACAAACACTGTCAATTTTGTCTTCTTTGAGCCTTCACTGGTTCTCAATTTCATCACAAGTACAAGCTGACAAAGATCTCACTGTTGATCTCAAGTATTTCCTGATCATGTCAAAAAAATGTTTCTCCACGTTGCAAACGTTTGCCCTTCTATCTGCCACCAGGTAGAATTTCCTAACGCAAACATCGCCAGGTATTTTTAGCGCCTAAGTGGTTCCAAGCCTTTTCCTGTCTCTGTTGATTCTGTCCCACATGGAATATGCTCGGCCTTCGGTTATGTTCTGCACAGGCTAGACAAAAGGACTGAATCGATTAGAATGGTGGCCCTGACTTCACCCTAAAGCATCCCACAAGATGCTCCTCTTGAAGCTCGTTTGCTAATTGGAATTCCACCAAATAGATTGTAAATAGTAAACAAAATACTGCCAAGCTGAGAAAACGACTACTGACCTAAAAATTATATTTCTTACTGGGATATTGAGCATTAAAAGAAGCTTTCAAGCATTCCAATTATGTGGGATAATCAGATTAGAAACATGTTCTGCTTCCCCCAAATCATCCAAAGAAGATTTTTAAACTCTGAAATATTTTAACCAATGCAAAGGGCACCCTACATTTTAATTCATTCATTAGCAGTTCAATTATTTTAGGTCAGAAATTTTTTTGTTTTTTTCTGCCTTTAGATTAGTGCCGAGTTTTGACTCTTCAAAGTTCATTGACTCTAATAATCAGAGAATGCTTTTATTTGACACATTTGATATCCTGCTATTGTCAGGGTTATTCCCATCATGTCCAAACCAACGATCTTTAGCAGATAATTTTGGTTGTCTCTAGATCGCTATCTGGCAACTTTCAGGTTTCAATGGCCTGCCATTGGGGTCAAAAGTACATGCAGGAACAAATTAAAAGACAATGGCCTTTTATAGAACAGTTGCCCACCACTTTATAGAAGGATGGTACACTCAACCACTGAAGATAGCGTCAATTTTACCAAAGCTGACACTTGAGATTCATCAACAATGTATCAAAGTGGTACATGGCAGTCACATTACCCGAGGTGCTTCAAAGTACGCAAGCTTTAGTGAGTGGGAACGGATGGCCTCGGCTGCGATTAGGCAGATTTTTGTCAAGTTTGGTCCAAATCCTTCTTCCTCTGCGACGGAAATGGCTTTGCTATGGCAACCAAACATGCTCCGAGGGTCCACGAACGGACATCCAGGTAATAACAATAGTTTCCTCCTCGCCTTGAGATTTTCCTTCTCTATGAGACAGGAAATATCTCCCTGAAGGTATAAAGACTGGTTTCTCTTTACTGGTAAACCAAACTACCACAGAGACTTCACATATATTCCAAGTTCATGATACGACGATGATGATCTAGCTTTAGATGGTGTCTCAGGGCACGGTTGTCATGGTAATCGCTACCTCAGAGTGCGTCTGAATGCAAGTCTCTTAGGGGTGGCGAGAGTAGCTTCTTTAGGCAGGTGTTCAGAAATCTTAGGAATCAATTTTTCTTTTCAGCATCGCTAGATACCTGCATAGATGAAGAAAAACAAAAGAGAGAAAAGCAGGAGATTAGTCATACGTTTATTACTCCATGATGAAGCTATAAGTTATAATAACAAAATTAGCTAATAGATATAAGTAGAGGCATTATTTATTATTTTGAGAGTCAATGGGTTATTTAGAGATTTTTTTTTTTTACATTTAAGGTAACATCTTGAGAGATTGGAGAATTATGAACTATGTTGAAACAGACAATCTTATCTGTATTTCTGATTTTCAGAGAAGATTTAAAACTTTTCGTACAAAAATTCTACATTGTAGATTTGCAGTGATAAACTTTAAAATTACTTAATCATCATCACTTGAAGAGTAATGTAATTAAAATTAAAATTATTATCTCTACACATACCCTTCATTTGTGTAAGTAAAATAAACCATCTGAAACTATTCATACTTTATAACCTCATAACAATCATTTTAATAAAATTTATGAAGAAAGATGATTAGAAAGGAAAACTGCAAAGAGCAAAATCAAAAGACAAGACTGGATATCATTAAATAAATGAAGAGAGTGAAGTTAGAAAGAAAGAGTCATGAATTTTCATAAAGAAAACTAGATCTGACAATAGAACAACATTTACAAACACAAACACATTTTGTTTTTTAATACAAGGATATGACCACACAGACAAGGATCTTTGTAGGTATATAAAGAGAAATAAACAAACAGGAAAAACAAAGGGTAGCTTACAGCTATGATTCACAGTTTAGAATTTAAAATTTACTTATAATGCCTAAATTGAGTGGCTATTTGATAATTGAAAATCATTCAAATTGTAAATTGTAGCATATATTACATATCAACACTCAAAACAAGGTTGCTTAAAGCTTGTAAATAGTACAACTGATAGAATATGTTGTGATTGTTTGTGGAGATAACGACAGCTTTTGAAGGTTATCTTGTGGAGCATCTGACATGAATTCTACGACCATGGAATAACGATGCACCCAGAATAATTGTGTGCTGCTTAGACCACAGCTGTACATGTATCTATAGATACCATTTATATTATTTTCATGAAATAATAAGCGTCATATCTAATGTCAATCTACATAATTATTATGTGTAACGTCATCGGTCCCAATCCGCCAATGCAGTTTAAATTACATATTATGCGTAAATCTGTAGATATCTTTTTGTATTGGAGATAATGGTTTGAAGAGAAAGTTGCGTTCTAGTCTAGATGAAAAGCATCCTTTGTATGCCAGTTTGCATTTAGAGAAGAAACAGAAAAATGGGGAAAAGTTTTCAACAAAAGTTCAATGACGTATATATGTGTATCTGTACTCCCAAGATGTGGGCTTCCTCAGTCTTTGTCTATACGTTTAGAAGAATGTTAGAGAAGAAACAGAGAAATGGGGAAACATTTTGGACAAAACTTTGATGAAGCAAATGTGTGTCTGTTGTCCCATACACCCATTTGTGTGTGGAGTGCATGTGATTTCATGAGATTGAGCCAAAACTTTTTTTTAATTTTGATCATTCTAAGTCCCAAAGTATTAATAAGTTCTCATGTACAGTACATCGCAACCAGCCTTCACCGATCCTTTCTTTCACTATGTAATCACTTTTATACCAGACCTCAACTTTACCTTTAAACATGCCTAAAACAGTTTCTCTGGTAGGTATTGTTGAAGTTCTCTTATCTGATGTAGAAAAATATCTATCCAACAATTAACCCCTCTGCATTCAATGCGACCTGCGCTCTGAATATATCTTGCATAGCTCAATGCACTTTCTCGTTGTCTGAGAAATTATGGATTAATGAAAATCAAAATGTACCCGAAGATCTAGGCCTTTGTATTGTTGTCTGGCATGTCAAGTGATTTTTCCTTATCTGATACAGGATGAATAATGAATAAATTCTCCCTGTAGCAGTTGAAATTAAAATGGGTCACCAATTTGCTCTCAGTGCACAAGTTGAGAATAGTGCAAACGCCATAATGATATCATATAATTGCATCTACATCGTGAGCCTTTTTGTAGTATCCCTCCACTGCTCTTTGAACATCCCCCCCCCCCCCCTACCCCCTCCCCCTCTGGGGATAAATCACTTTCAACTGTCACTGTGTGATTATTAATCTCCTATATTTCTTTGTTACTTTTCCTTTTCTAATCAAGTGTGTGGGTGAGTGTGTGTCTGTGTGTGTTTGAGAGTGAGTGTGTGTGTGTTTGGGAGTGTGGGTGGGTGCGTTTGGGAGTGTGGGTGGGTGCGTTTGGGAGTGTGGGTGGGTGCGTTTGGGAGTGTGGGTGGGTGTGTTTGGGAGAGAGTGTGGGTGTGTTTGGGAGTGTGGGTGGGTGCGTTTGGGAGTGTGGGTGGGTGTGTTTGGGAGAGAGTGTGGGTGTGTTTGGGAGTGTGGGTGGGTGTGTTTGGGAGTGTGGGTGGGTGTGTTTGGAAGTGTGGGTGGGTGTGTTTGGAAGTGTGGGTGGGTGTGTTTGGGAGAGAGTGTGGGTGTGTTTGGGAGTGTGGGTGAGTGTTTGGGAGAGAGTGTGGGTGTGTTTGGGAGTGTGGGTGGGTGTGTTTGGGAGTGTGGGTGGGTGTGTTTGGAAGTGTGGGTGGGTGTGTTTGGGAGAGAGTGTGGGTGTGTTTGGGAGTGTGGGTGAGTGTTTGGGAGAGAGTGTGGGTGTGTTTGGGAGTGTGGGTGGGTGTGTTTGGGAGAGAGTGTGGGTGTGTTTGGGAGTGTGGGTGGGTGTGTTTGGAAGTGTGGGTGGGTGTGTTTGGGAGAGAGTGTGGGTGTGTTTGGGAGTGTGGGTGGGTGTGTTTGGGAGTGTGGGTGGGTGTGTTTGGGAGTGTGGGTGGGTGTGTTTGGAAGTGTGGGTGGGTGTGTTTGGGAGAGAGTGTGGGTGTGTTTGGGAGTGTGGGTGAGTGTTTGGGAGAGAGTGTGGGTGTGTTTGGGAGTGTGGGTGGGTGTGTTTGGGAGAGAGTGTGGGTGTGTTTGGGAGTGTGGGTGGGTGTGTTTGGAAGTGTGGGTGGGTGTGTTTGGGACAGAGTGTGGGTGTGTTTGGGAGAGAGTGTGGGTGTGTTTGGGAGTGTGGGTGGGTGTGTTTGGAAGTGTGGGTGGGTGTGTTTGGAAGTGTGGGTGGGTGTGTTTGGGACAGAGTGTGGGTGTGTTTGGGAGTGTGGGTGAGTGTGTTTGGGAGAGAGTGTGGGTGTGTTTGGGAGTGGGGTGTATATGTATTTGGGTGGAAATAGGAAAGGATGTGTGGGATGATGTATTAATGACCATTTCCATGGGCTACACACACCCACATGTAAGAAAAGAATGTTAAAAATCAAAAAATTGTAGTATACCTTAAGTATTATTTAATGTTGCATACAGTATATATTCCTATCCTGAAGTATATCTCTTGTTTTTTCTTTTTTTGTCCAGAAGTGCACTTTATCTTTCTGGGTGACAGTAATATGTGCTGGAAAAGCAACGTTCATCATCATTACCTTTTATTACATTTTAATGAATTCATATGGAGATCCAAATGCATTAATGAACCTTGCCATGTTTTTGATGATATCAATTACAATAGTTAAAAGGAGATATTACAAATATTGATTCCCAATGTAAACACTCTACTTTGATTGCGTAGGCAAACATGCTGAGTAAACAGGACCCATTTGTTTTGCCATAGACATGCACTTTACTAGTATCCAACGCACTGCTGCATCACCTGAAAAACTATTTGAAGCTTTTAGCATAAGCAGCCTTTTGTATTTTCTGTTTTTTCACTTTTTGTTTTTCTTTTAATTAGATTTTAAGTACTAATTGCTTACAAAATAATTCACAAAAACCTGCAATGTTTTTCGAATAATTCATTTCATTATGTTTTGTTGTTGTTCATAAGGATTATTCCTTAAAGTTTAGTTAAAGAATGACAATATTTAATAGAAAGTTTACTGGTTTAGAGAAAACTGCAGTTAAAAAAATACAAGGGGGCTCGGGGCGAATTAGCCCCCGAAATGCCTAAAAGAGCCCCCGAAAATCAGAAAAGAGCCCCTGTAAATTTCCATAGAGTTCAATGCAAAACGAATTTTAGAATTTTATTTTCATACAGGCAAGCTTGAAAAGTAGCCCCCGAAAAATATATATTCATTTTTTCCCTGGAAAACTCTCAATAAACAGAAGGATGTAGGCAAAAATGATACTGAATGCATAAAATCTTTTAGGGGGGAAAGATAGATGCATGTTTTATACAGAAAAAATAAAAGATGTTTAATAGAAAAATTTAATAACTTGTTATTTTAGTTGCTCCAGAATTCTTTCCATATTCAGAAATAGTATCTTAAAGGCATTGTTTAACAATGTTAAATCTGAGATGCATGGCCCTACGTGTTATCAGTGTCTATGTTATGGTGTAATATTGAAGCCCTAAAAAAATTGTACTTCAAAATGATCAAGGAGTGCCTCAAAAAATTAAAAATCTTTGAGTGAGGGTTTTACCATACTCGTTTGCCCCAATAAAAACTGTTTGGCAAACGCAAAATTTGGATTCGATTTCCAATCATAAATATCTTGATAATCAGACGGGCGATCGGCTTGTAAAAGTCATGGGGTTCCTGACTGACCTAAAGGTTTATAATTATAATTGCAGCACGAGATATTAATCCAGGATCTTGTTTCAGAATCTGAGACAAAGTTACCGGATCCCTTTAAAGATGAGTAAATAAATAATGAACTTAATCAACCTTTTCTGTCTTTTCTCATACTATTATTTACGTAAGATTGAGAGCATCTTTTATGACATTTCCACAGTTTCCACTCAATGATGCCACAAACATATCCCCTGTCAGCAGAAACCCATAACATCTAATTGCTGCCATGGCCAATAATCTTGTATCATAGTTCAAACATCGTGACGGTCATCTTGTTTAATTAACATACATGTAAGGCCAGCAAAATAAACTGCTTCCTAAAATGCTACTGTATGTGGGCGGGTCATTAGCACGGTCAATTTACTGATAATAGCTGCATTTACACTGCTAGCCAAAATTGTAGAATTTTCTCTGGTCTTTCGTTGGTAATTAAATACGAACCTCTGGAAAACTGATTTTTTTTTTTTTTTTTTTTTTTTTTTTTTTTTTTTTTTTTTTTTTTTCTTAACACTTGCTAAAATGTCATAGATTTTTGCAGTGTTAATGCTCACTCTCGAAACTTTAGTACACTTCTTTTTTTTGTGACTCCCCTCGCTTCCGTGCAATTGTTTGCAGAGCAGCAACAATTTGTGGATCCTGCGATGTTTTGATCGGTCAAAATTTAATGGCTATTTAGTATCCTGCTATTTTCGTTTCATATTGAAAAAAGGACAATTGGTACAGTAAGTGTGGCAAAAGAGCATTTGTTTTTTTTTTGTTTTTTTTTGTGTTTTTTTCCCTGTGAATTAGCATTTGTTTATTTATTGCCACATCTGGGGGGTGTTTCACAAAACTTGTCATCAGTGACAAATGAAAGTTTTTGTTATATTAAAGGTACTGAAATCCTTGCTTCTGATTGGTTATCAGCAGATTTGTCACTGATGTTTATCATTTGTCATTGAAAAACTGCTTTGTGAAATACCCACCAGGTTGTGGTCATGGCCACACTACGAAAGAAAGAAACAAGAAAGAAAGAAATGAAGCAAAACTTTTTTTATGTAACAATCCCAGAGAGAGGGCCTATATTGGTTGTCAATTGATCAATCACAATTTTGCACTAAATTGAAAATATTCAAGTGGACCTACAACTGTACCCACTGAAATTGAATTGTAAATTAATAACAGTGTAGCATGCATAAACTGTACAAGTCATGTACATGTACATGTACGTTCTGATCTGATTTGATATTGGTAATCACATTTCTGCCCAGGAATGATTGGGAAAACGGTTTATATGCTCCTGGGATTTTAATTGTTTGCAGATATATTTGTTACATGTACATGTAGGCCCACATTAGACAGTTCAAAATTTCTAGTAATCAAATTTAAAGTACCACTACTAGTCGAGAAAGGCTTGCATACATATAATAAATGTAGTTTTCTACAGCTTAGAATTCAATTGTGGTTGGGTTGGGGCTCAAACAGTGTTATTGTAAAGTATGATGTTATTTTGTGTTTTAAAATCTTCCATAAACAGCCCTAGACATTTGTTCTTTTCTTAAAGTAGTCAAAAATGCATGTACACTGTACTCAATAACCCTTGCCCCGCCCATACCTCAAACCCCCCCCCCCCTTCCCTTTTCCTTTCCTCAAGAAATATAAAAAATAGAGTATATGTCATGTTTTAATTGAGTCACATATCATTCGCAAAAATAACGCCCCTGGAATTGGATCTAGTCATGATCCAATGTCATCTTGTAATTATTTGAAATCTGGAAATTCAATTAGGAAACTTTTCAATTACTGACAAATTTTATTTAGTTCAGCAGGAAAATATGAAGTGGAAACATCCTCCCCCATTCTGTATTATAGTTTGGTAGTAAAAAAAAAAAAAAAAAACAGTTATTAAAAGAAACAAACATTGCCAAAGAGAAATTAAACAAACAAAAGTCACCACATTTAGTTGCTGTTGTGTGTGTGTGTCATTGTCACCTAACGCTTGTAGTATGTCTTACTGTCTTAAAAACGTTTTACAGCATTTTCCTTAGATCTGCATGTAGTTGAACTTAAAATTGTTTAAAATTAGCAACCAAATAATCCTCACACACAAGGTTTTTTGTGTCAATGACCTTGTAAAAATTCAGTTTAATGTCCCTTTAACTGTTCAATAGAATAACTGATACGGCCCCTTTTATAGACCTCCAATTACCCCCACTATAATCCCTCTTTTGGATAATCCCTAACTATGGTTCAAGAACTTAATTAGAAACCTTTGTAGTTAATAATCCTGCTTTCAAAATGACAATGAACATCAAGATAAAAGGACTAAAAATAAGCCCATGAACACAAAAAAACTTCTGAATGAGAAAACTGTAGTGAAGTGTAAGCCACTAACTGCCTACTTTCAGTACATACACTCAAATTCAAGTGGAAAGGGACTTGCAAAATCAACCATAAAACCAAACCCGGGCTAGAAGAGGACTTTTATTTTTAACGAATCTCTCGATGAGAATACTTTGTAGCTTTGTGTATACCACTTTTGGTACACGATCAAATTTAAGAGAAAAGGGAATGGCTTCAAGAGAACTTTTTTGTTGTTGAAAGGAACACTCTGTACAAATCACTTTTTCAAACGATTAGAAAATGTAGGGGAAAAAGGATTTCAAATCAATCTAAAAACCTTGTAACAGGCATGCTAGCAGAAGGCTTGCCTTCATCAGACAAAAGTTGCAAAATAACCTATTTTAAACTAGCCTGATTTCAAATTAGCCAGCTAACTTGCGGACTTCATCAGCCCGCAGTTGCAATTAGAGGGCTATTTGGTAGAGAAAATATCCTGAGAAATGATGGTCTTGTTTCCAAAATAGCGGGCTAATTTGGGCCCGTCCGAGCTAGTTTGTGATGAGCGCATCTGTCTGGGGAAGACGCAATTTGAGCTTGGGAAAATATCCTGAGTCTGAAAATAGCGGGTTATTTTGCATCTTTAGTCTGATGAAAACAGGCCTTTATAGAGGAAAGAATCAATTTCACGGTTTGTTCCTTTATGACAACTGGCCTTCCTAAAGTGCTTTAGCAACAGTAAAATGAGGGAATTTCTGGCAGGAGCAATTTTCAGATTGTTCATACTCACGGACAGTTATAATACAAAACTTGAATGAAGAAATGTCATAAAAAGAATCATCTTATAGCGAAAGGAGTGGACAGACCATAAAAACAATATTGTAAAGGCATTGAAGAGATCAATTGACATGACAGCTCCACCCAGTTTTACAATATTTGTAATTTGTATGATACAACGTTCAGACTCGTGCTGGTTTCTTTATTGAGTTTTGTTTAAAGCGATGCTCAGACAGACGTAAATTTTGCTACACATAACGTTTTATACGTTTCTTTTTACCATATTTCGAATAGGGAAAATATTCTTGTATAGCTTATCACCTATACGATAAAATCATGTTACATGTAGGCTGAACAAGACAAGGGTAAGACTTTCACATTTACAAACGTTAAGCTGAACATTGTGTATGGATGTGATTTCCAATTTAACGGTTCATTTCAGAATTATAATCGGTGAGGTGTGATTCCGTTGATACATTTTGTTGATCAATTAGTTTGTGGTAGCATGCTGATGACTCTCATGTGTATGTTGTGTATGTATCATGACTATAAATTACAAAGGAAGTTTAGCTACATGTAGGCCAGGGGGTGTTTCACAAAGATTTTAAGTTGAAATTAACTCTAAGTTGGACTTAAATATTATGGAAAGCCATATGTAACTTTATAATGAAATATATTCAAAAGCAAAAATTCAAGTATTTTAGACTTTTGATAAATTTGACATCAAGAACATGAAATTTCCCATGATGATAGAAAATATGAATGATTTAAATCAATATTTTATGGCTTTTTAAATAACTTTAACAAAATGTTTTCAAAGATGCTAATGGCTCTCCATAATTGTTAAGTCCAACTTAGAGATAAGTTCAATTTAGGATCTTTGTGAAACACCCCCCAGGCCTGCAGATTTTCATCTTTCATAATTAATTTACGTTGCTTTTCTTTCCTCTATGTGACACAAAACTCCTTTCTCTCTCCCGCTCCTTTCCATCTTTCTCATTCCTCTCTAAGATATTTCTCTTTTTTTGGAAAGATTACCTAAACCCAGTAGTTTGAAGAAATCACCCTTTACTATTTAAAAACATCCTAAGAGCCCTAATAATGTGATTAAGGGTAAAGAGCTAGATGTAGTAAAAACATAAACATTCAATATGCTACTTGTACATGTACATGTAGATCATACAGCTTGAGATTAATGTATATGCAAACAAGAAAGTTTAATAATTGAAACAACAAACTAATCAACATACCATATTCAAAAGGGAGGTAGAAGAGAAGAAAATATTGAGAATACATAGAGAAATACATAAAGACAAGGTATTAACTCACCTGTGGGCTTGCTTGTCCAGGAGTCCTCCCAGATGTCAGAATATATATCCAGAGTATCAATCCAAGTTTCCAGGACGCTAGCTGGCAGCATGTAGGAACAATCGGAATGGATCAGCAGAACAGGCTGCATGCAGGAGCTGCACCTGTCAAAGGTGTCCCAAGGAAGCTCAGCAGGAACCTGGCTGGATGATCACCAACAGCAGGTGATGCACCTGTTGCAGATGAAGCACCCCGAAGAAGACAATATCCTGCAAGACCTTGGAGATCACTGTCCTGCTGTAGCTATTGGTGAAGTTGTGGAACCTTGCTGGATCATCAACACCAGCAGGTGATGCACCTGTTGCAGATACCCTGAAGAAGATGATGTCCTTCAAGACCTTGGAGATCACTGTCCTGCCTTTGCAGGCACTAGATGCAGCTATTGGTAAAGGTGTACAATCTCCAGTCACTCTATATGTTGCAACTGTTGCAGAAGGCAAGTTGCTCCACACGGCTAGGAAAATCTGCAGCACTGATATTCCTCGTTAAGTTTTCTATGAGATGCAAACCTATAGACTACATACAATACCTGTTAAAAAGCTCTGTGCAATTGACAAACATTAAATTGCAATCATGCTATTTCAAGTTTATTTCCTGGTGCACACCTATTAACATAAATCAGGTAAATGTAGGGACTAAACACACATGAATTCATTCAGTATTAAAGTCAAGCAATCAAAATTCTCTGATCACAAAATGGTTTTGTAGTTTCATCTAAAAGCTGAGCAAGGATTGGTTCACAATCACCTTTCATGCGTGAAACCTGGGGGCAAAAAGAAGTTTGTTGAAAGAACTGGAGTGTGTATGAGTACAGTACATGTTCTCTCCTATAATACACCAGACAAAAGAACCTACAGGTACTGTACATGTGGATCCTTGTAAATATAATGGTAGGCACAACACACAAGAAGCGAATGCCGTTGCAGGTAGACACAACGCACAAGAAGCGACTGCCGTTGCAGCAAGAATCAACACTCTGGAGTGGACAGTGGTGAAAGAATGTTACCAAACAAACAACATTTCCTTTGGGGAACCAAGAAGTGATTGTCCATTGTGTCCACAGTTCGAAAGAACATAGCAGTTACACATTAGGTGCACTTGTTGAATGTTCAGCTAAACCTCTGCATGGCCTAAACAATGAAATAAAAACATGTAACCATGTTTAAGGACGAAAAAGCATTTGTTTCTTGAACTTATTATCCTTGATTACGCTTTGGTCATCACTGAACAGTAATAAAAGTTTCTAATGTGAAATTCTCAGGCCATTGCACGACCTCGGCTCAAACGCCTCAGAGCAGATTGTCCATTTTGTAGTTCTCCAGAATTGGACTAAGTAATAGTTCAAGGTAGTAATTCACTTTAAATTGCTCCTGCATGAATCAATGATAGTTGATACATGTACAGCTTCACAAAGATATCCACAGAGTAGAAAGGCATTGCATGCTTCCAACAAGAATTGTTACATCTGCATTCTCGAGGACTATCCTGACCATTTGTAAAGGAATAACTGTCCACTCAAAAACGGTTCCCACCAAAAACGCCAACCTGGTCCTTGTATGACCTCACAACACAATGACTCAGTCCTAACTGTTCGTATTACAGCATGAGTTTTGTGTTTAAATGAAAGGAGTAACCACAGGGAGGTTCAGAGTCACACAAAAGTAACCCAAACGGTGATAATCCTGCATAATTCCTTTTTCTAAACTCCTACAGGATTCCGTAGACGATTACAGATTTACCGGGACAATAGGGCTTGGCTGTCTTAGAACCCGAAATGAGAGACTGTTCTTTCTCTTTTGCCAACCCTGCATGTAGCTTCACTTGCAGGGTAAGCTGAATATTCCCATGGAGCAATATTCACTCCCACCGGTTGCAATTCAGTACCCCTTTTGTCTGGTTACTCTTGTTTTCTTTAGGCTGATTCCACAAGAACTTACATTGCATTTTTTACTCCTCTCACGGTCAACCTAAACACACAAAACATCGAATAGAAACTAACGTGAAAGTTAGTTTGTGGGCGCACAACCGCACACCTTGTTCATACATAACCTGATATTGACATTGATCATGATTACTATTTGACTGAAGTACATGTACAGTATGTTTGTTGTTAAAATGTGCATTCTTGCAGGGAAATTGATTACCGGTAGGTACATTCGTAATCTGTTTTTCCTTCACCATTTCAAGGGGTAATTAAGTTACAAAGAATTTTAATAGAAAGTTAAGTGTGTATACAGGTCCACTTATATGAAATTAGTCAGGAACTGACGCAAGCATATTACTTTTATCTTTGATGAAGAGAGGTAGTATACCCTCAAAATATTTCTTTAAATAATGTGAGGCTCCCAATTCAAACCAGACTGTGTTCCCATTTCAATGCATCACACAGAAAGAAGTCTGCAACCTGAGACTAAGCCACTGTTAGTGTAAACACAACCTCCAATGGATCACAAAAGAGAAAGGGATGCTGATTTTCATTGTGGAAGGAAAGAAAACAGCGTTGGAAGGTATACCTTTTGTGCACGAGAGCGGAACAGACGAACAGTTTGGCTTGCTTTGTAAAGAGGGGTGTTTAGACGAACAGAATTTCAAGAGCTTCAGCAAATATTTATCCTGAATATAGAAGACTATAAACTCCCGGCAGTAACTTACTACAGTGTTTGGTCAAGTCTCCACTAAAAATAGACAACAACAAAATTTATTAGAAAATTTAATTTAATTTCTAAATCATGTTTCTATTCAAATTCCAGAGCAGAGGGCAATGAAAAGGAGAAATGAGGAAAAATACTGTAATTAAATGGTTTACTGGTTGACTGATCTTTACGTCAATATCAGTTATTCAGTTTACCACCAACAATAAATTGTCACAATTGTCGCACAATAGCTATTTTGAGTGAAGAGAACTGAAGTGTGATAATACGTATGGGATGACCTTGGTTTCGTATGGTAACAGTTCAATGTTAAACCAGCTAAAAAACCGCATTTACATACATAAAGGCCTACCTGTACAATTGTATATTAAAGATAAAGTTGAGTACTGGTAAAAAAAAGAAAATTATTTCTCACAGAATCAAACGAAACTTACACTGAATGTTCAAGATTACAAATAAATGACATGTGCCAAACAATTTTGGAAGAAAATGTGTACTGGCTGAGAAATGAGCATAGAAAGACAAGGAATCAAGGTAGTACCAACCCCGACACCGTGCGTGTTGTCCCATACATAGCTTTCTGTGTATGTGCTTGTTACTTTACCAAGACTCGGTCAAATTTATTATGATTTTGATGACTCCAGAACCTTGCAGTGCACACCAATACTTATGCTACATGATCAACTGTTTCTGATCCTTTCCACACCTTTTCTTTCACAATGCAATCGCATTACCAGTACTAAACTTTATCTTTAATTGCACGCTGTACACGTCAGTAGCTAAAAAATTTGAGCCGTCAGACGGCAAATTGTTTGGAGTTATTTAACCTCATCAAATATCTCCCAACACCCTTTTTTGACAAAGTTAAATTTGTTTTTCCAATAATTGATTACTATCCTTGACTTTGGGATTTTGGTTAAATACATGTATGGTTTCACGGTTCAAAACTTCAAAACACACCAATACTTATTTGCTAGATGATCAACCTTTTCTGGTCGATTCCAAACCGTTTCTTTCACAATGCAATCGCATGACCAGAACTCAATTTTATCTTTAAGACCATGTACATTTCAAATTCCTGCAATTATAAATTTCAATAGCATTACCATGCAATACATGAAGGTATCAAATAGACACCATAGTCCAACACCTTTCCACTGCCATTCATTATTAACGAGGACGGCGTAGTATACCGCCCTCGCTCCTCCACCGAAGGTCAAGTAAAGCGGCAGTAAAAGCAACTCGTGTAATGCTGCCATCGATCATCCTATCCTCACAGCGGTATTGATTTGTTCAAAGAATTAGTGCAGAAAATCTTTTTTATCGAGAATCACTCTTGTGTTAGGAAGATAATGCTGTGAAAATCAATGGACCGGTTCATTGGACAGGTCAGTGTATTTTCTCGCACTGTAGGGTTGGATACCAACTGGATTCTTGAAGCTTTCCTCATGCTCTTTGTGAATCAGTACAGTATACATTCAGAAGGACAACTGGCTAAGTAGACGATATAAGCAAACAAATCCTGTATACCAAGATGGTTGTGTGTCAGGTAACAAGCAGATGCGAACAGTTGAATCCAAACAGTAATTTTGAAGAAATTTACATGTACATGTATGCAATATTTCATAAATCTTTTAAAACTTATGTTGGACAATATTATAAAGGATTAATATTTATGTTGGTTACTAGTGCTATTTGATGCATATATTTTGTTATTAAAATCTAAAGGCAAAAGTGGTGACTTGATTTTCGTTTGTGTCCCCCAATCATACTTGACCAAATTGGTGGATGAATTCTTTCATACACATACCGATACACTACTCACTGTACTATGTATAGTGCTGCTGTCGAGTACAAATTTCTTGGTCAACATAATTGGTTCATATCGTTGACAGACGTCTTAGACCGTCGACCGAAAGATGATCAGTAAGTTTCAACATTCAAGTCAACAATAAACATACAGTCATACACCTGATATAAAAGCCACAAAAGTTTTTTCGATATCTGCATTTTAAAGCATATTTTCAATCAATTTTGACAATGTACATGTAAATAATGCCTAAAACCATGGAAGAAGCCATTTAGATCTGTATTGGATCGGTCAAATATGAGTTACTGACCAAGGTCAAGGATCACACAGACTTGAAGGACGAAGCGAAAATAGGTGTAAGTGGATCTACGGTGTGAGTAAAAAAAAAAATTAACGCCTAGAAAATTGCTAATTATTTAAAAAAACATCTATGAACAGTAAATCATTTTACATCTGATGAAAGAGTTATTTTATCCCAAATCATTTGGTATCATTTTTGCACTCGATTTTTGCACTCTTGCAAACAATGCCTCCTATTCAACCAGGCTTGCCGCGAACACATACCACACAAAATGATACTAAATGATTTGGGATAAAACACTCTTTCATATTAAAGATGTATAATAATTTACTGTTCATAGATGATTTTAAAATAATTAGGAATTTTCTAGTTGTAAACTTTTTTTTGACTCACACTGTAGATCTACTTTGATATCTAAATTTTAAAATATAGCATTGAGAAAAATATTGATCAGAATTATCTCTTTTTCTGGACTAGAGTTGTTAAACGGACATAAGGACTTTGAAGGGTAGATTAAGGGCTTAATCAATTGAAGGTTAAATAGAGACGAGGGATTAATGGTTTTACTGAAGGATAACTTACCGAAGCTGTGACATCATGCAAATCTATTATTAGAATTTCTCAATTTGAACTTCATTTTCCGAAAGAGCATCCAAAATAATGTCCAACTTTCAAAAACCAATTGAATATATGTTAAAGGTACTATGTCCCTTTTGCAGCCAACCTCAAATTCTGTAGAACTTTGCAGGAATTATGAATATGTCATGTATGTCCTATCTGTGAAATTTAAACGTTAGCAGTGTCCTCATATTCAAATTATGCAAGGAAACCCGTTTACTTGCTAGACTTCACTGTCAGACACTATTGAGTGACTGACTGGCTTTTTCTTCTTCTTTGGTAATAACATACATGAAAAGAGTTGCAAAGTGTACATGAGCATTTGTCTACATCAATAACCCACTTTTTGTGTTGGCCAAGATTAAGCTGATTGAATCTTTGCGCAGCATAAAACGTATGACCATTCGGTACAATTGTCTGAAAATCAAGACTATCACTTTTGGGCTCTATAGCCCTAAAGTCGATTTGACAACTAATAGTCGTTATTTTCCCACTTTAAGACATTTTCAAGCCCCACCTTTGTTAGGGAAGTTCTAAATTAGTATTATCTTTCAAATGCAGTTGGAATTTAACTTTTTCATTTTTGGGCCTGCAAATGGGACATAGTACCTTTAAGTATTTGCTGAGATATGGCCATCTGAATAAATAGATTTCCTATATGTATTTAAGAACTCAGTGTTATTTCGCTCTGGTTTTTCAAATACATTCAATCACCATTAAATAAATCTAAATTTGAATCCATCCTGAAACAAGCACGACAAAGCCTATAAAAGTGTCAATGTTGCATTGTGAAACAAAGGCAAACAATTACACATGACAATTTATAAAACTTAGCAATTCATAAAAACAACCAGTTAGATCATTGGTATCACAAAAGGAGAGATAAAATTAAAAAGAGAATACTATGACGAAAAATAAAATATTAATAAATGAATCATTGAACAAATCTTTGAGTTTTGACACACAATAGAAAATATGAAATATATTTACATGCAAATTTCATCTCAGACTTTGAAATGTGAATGGTAAGAGTTTCTTGCTTTATTCCTTGAAATATACCAGTAAAAAAATAAATTGCATAGAAAGGGCAGCTTTTACACAACTGAAAATGAAAACCTTGTAAACAACAAGGCTAAAATTAATCCAAGGCCACCAAGGCCATGGCCGTGGATGCCCTTTTGATTGGCCTCAATGCCCCTCTCATTGGCCTTGGAGATTTTTTGTGCCCTTTCCAATTCTTTCTATTTGTGCTGTAATATAGGAATGTGCCCGACAGAAAAGTGGCCTTGCCCTAAAAATATTGAAATTTAAGGCCTGAAACAACATGATCAATTTACATCAATTCAAATAATAAATTACAAAGATATTAGGCCCCCTGTCTAATTTTCATAATGGGTCTGAACTTGCTAGCATTTCGTGTCTCCATTTTCAAATGTATATTCCCTAGATGTTATACAGTAGTCTGATACTACCGTTCATCACTTTGGTAATAAATATACAATTTATAGGCAATACAACCTAATACAAAATACAGACAAACCTGCTTTAGTGACCACCTGTCTACAAAGACCACATTTTTTGTTTCCCTTGAAAATGGTTTCTTATCGAAACATGTACTGAAGGAACCTGTCTTCAAAGACCACTTTTTGTGTTTCCCT